TTTTATCTCTTACTTACGAATAGTCATACTTAGAGTAGGGCGCCATGGAAAAAATTTAATTGAAAAAGGGCGCCGCAATTAGGAAAAATTTTGGGAACCACTGGTTTAAGATGATGAAAAACCGTTGAAAATCTGCCTCAACAGGATAGCTAACCACTTTTACTCTATATTTATCAGTTCTTAGTAGCCTTCATGAGTGAGGCTGTGACTAAGTAGTGAAAACAAAGTCAAGCCAATTCAATACAGAAAGGTGAGATTACAACCAAGCCTGAGGCTACACTATCCTCGTCTTCATAACCATTGTATAAATTAAGTCCTGTAGACGTAATTAGGAGATGGTCAGTAGTTCATTATGCTGATCCCCCACCTCTTTAGCCACCAATAAAAGTTAAGAACCCACCATATGATACATACAAAGCATATAAACACCGAAAATATCACATTTATAAGAAAAATAGAAATTTGTCGTAAATTGCTCTGAGTGTCTGCATAAAGAAGAACTTACACAAAACGAATTGGACAAGGAAAAAGATTGATGCCAAGGACCTCAGCAACAGACAACGCGACGAGTTTGGAGATGTGATACTCCAGTTCGGAGGTGTTCACCTGAGGATGACAAAAGAAAAATTCAGCTAATGGTGAAATATGACAGAAACGAAAGGGAAGGAGGCCCAGATAGGTTAAGCAGGTCCAAGCCAGGAGCTAAGAAGGACGAGAGCGAGAATTTCAAGGTAATGTGCAGAAGATGAACAAATTTGTCAATGTTGATTAGGCAAATAAAGAAAGAACCAAGGGGTAATTTTAATAACAAGTAGTCATTGATAAAACAATTAGCCAGAAGTCACGATCGAACATAAGAGTTGCTTGAAAACCTGTCACTTGTTAGTAGCGACTCATGAATCTGAATTTGTTTTAAGCTACCTGATAACCGCGACAGAGTTAGTTTTCTAAATTTAATAGAGCACATACAGTTGACGATAGACACAAAAGTTGCGGTAATAGGTCCTATTTCGGCATGAAAATGTCTGCCTATATGTCTGCTGAAGATGATGGTAATATCTGAGCTAAGTCGAAACTAGATAACATTCTGGATGAATTCCAATACAAAAACAAGTCTTCACTTCATAAGTTACATGTAATAGAAGACAATAAATGGCGTACCTTATCGGCCTATACTCTTGGACAGGAGCACACGAAATAGGAAGAAATCAAAGGAGATTGTCTTGGAAACAGCGTCAAAAAAAATGTTCTGGTAAAACCAATCGACGGCTGGGCAAGAAAAATCTGTTGTCGTCTTCTGGTGAGATCGACATTCGAATCTATTCACCAAACACTTTAATTAGAAATGGAAGTGATCTAAACTATGAAACTTAACTTTATTTCCTCATTTTGAGTGAAAACGTGCTAAGCTTTTGTCCAGCATATGATGGGCATCATCAGAGCTGGGTCTCATTACTGTAAAAGTCTCACGTTAACATTAAAGCAAGAAGACTATCCGGTTCTATCTTACCTCTTATAGAGACCCAATTAAGCCAAAAGAAAATAAAAACCTAGATAGATAGACATATAGATAGATATAGAGTGGCCTGGCCAATTATCTTTCATACTGGTCCTGCTACTTGAGTGTGTGTGTGTGTGTGCGTGTTAGCGTCTATACACAATACCGGTCCTAAATCAGAGTGATCAAAATAGGCTAATGTCAGGCTCTGATCATCAAGGCCTAATGACCCAAGAAAAAGCCCTGACCAAGACTGCGTAAGCCCGTAAGCAATTATGGTTGAGATGAGATGTAAACTTGTAAGTCAAGTTACGAAACCACTTGTCCTGACCTCTCAGTCTAGCGTCATTAACGCTTAACCAACCAAGAAAAGGCCTGATTGAGGCTGCATAATCCTGTACGTCTGGTTTAGTCTGATGAGCTGATGATGATGATGTTGAGCGAGTGAGTGAAGCTAGAAGCATCACTGAGAAGACCAGTTGTGTCGCCTTCTTTTGGATGGCGACTCAGCACCCTCTCTCTCCTTCAATCTATCAATCAATCATAATAAGTTCTTGCTTAACTTCCTACCACTATTCCTCATATACAACTAATTTCTCAATCTATTACTTTCAATAGTCTATCTTATCTTTCTTTTAACAGCAGACGTACCATAATCAGCAAACCTACTAGTTTGAGATCATTCTATTTCATGTCCAGTTTCTGCCATGTGTTCGGCCACTTCTGACAGTTGAACACAGCTTCCTTTACAAGCATTATCATGTTCTCCCAATTTTTGTCGAATATGTCTCACCAACATAACATGGACCACATGAGCAAGCAATCTTGTAGCATCAGAATTTCGATAATGGGTCATATTTCTTTCTAAAATATGGCATAATAGGAGAGTGTAAGGGTTTTTTGAACACTCTTTTTATCCCCCCCTTCTTACTAATTCGCCTA